GGGGGGAGAATTCCCCTCCTGTCCGTACCGGACAGCCTCTTATATTGCTAGCTGCCTGAAGTCTAACGAGATCCACAAGGGACCGCGCCTGATCAGCCGGCGATTCACTGATGCACCAGGAAGCTGATGTGATTCGTGTGCGGTACGCTGCGGGGTGGGGCCACGCTTGGTTAAAGCCTCATATACCTCGGTGGCGGTGCCGCTGCAGTGCGCACGTGTTGCGCTCACGGGCCGCCCGCCCGCCACCTCTGGGATGTCCATCTCTTGCGTCACTGCGCCGCGGTGGCGGGATTAAGCGCCACTCCCTAGTAAATGTCGCCTGCTCGGCCCCCGCCGCGAGCGGGGCCGCAGCTGAAGCTGGTTCATTGACCGCGCCAAACCTACGCGTGGATTTATGATTTTTGGGACGCCGTGTTAAAACTCTTTCGCTAAAAATCAAAATTTACGCCAGGCGGGAGCATTTCGATAACCCAGGGCTTGGGTTACAAGCTCCAGCACCGGATACTGTGAATGCGCAGAGTGTTGCGGGTTTGCCTACTCTTTACAACCGTAAGGGGACATGGCCCCTGCGGCAATATTGAGTATGCAATCCCGCCACACTGCTGTGTATTCACAGTAACACCCGGTACAGCCGGAGCAGGGGTTGTTGGGCCAGGAGCCCGGAAGTAACCCCACCGGCCAATGCCAAAACTGAACTCCGCAATAGTTCCGGCCCTATTTTCGTTTCGTCTTGCGGTTTTTGGTGGCCGCCTGCCTGTGCGTGCACGGACAGCAGAGCAGGTGCGGCGGTGAGGGCTGCGGGTGCAGGACACACGGCATTAAAGAAGGAAAAGAACTGTGGGCGCCACGCTGGGCGCGCAGGGCCAAGGCTCGCGGGTAATTAGTGTCGCCCCGGGCGACGCGAGGACAAGAACAAGTGCCCCCCGCGCACGCACGCACGCGCACCACATTGTGAGTCGGAATGTCACTCGCAGGCCCAGAGCACCGAGCAGAACCGAGCCGGAGCTGGCCGAGCCCGACGGCTCGCACGAAGCAGCGCCTCGCGGGTATGCAACCCCTCCGGTACTCCCGCCAGGAGCGCAGCCTACACGGCAAGGGGAGTCGAGCCGCTGCGGCAGGGGCGCGCTTCGGGGGTAGGCCGGTAGGCCACCTCTCCAGCGCAGCCGCCGTGAGTTCGGACTACAGAGCTCGATAGCCAGGCTGTCGAGTAGGCATCGTTGGAGGTGCTTCACGGACAGGTACTCGTACGCAGAGGGCTGTGTTGTATGACGGTGATACACTCTGAAAACAATTCGACTCTGCAACAAATATATCCAGCAAATCTCACGCAAAGTGATTCATCCCGTTGTGACGCGCCCTGTGACAGTGGGCCACAGCAGTGGCCTGCTGCGTTGCCATCTCGCCGGGTGCCGGGGCGCGGTGCGCCCCGAGCCGAGTGCATCGGGGGTATCGACCTGGCCCGGGGCTCCTCGGCCACGTGAGATGGAAAGGTGATGCCTTTGGTCAGCGAGGTTACCTCACTCGCTACCCACGGACTCACAGCGGGGCTGCGCCGTGCTGGCCGGGTTGGGCCTACAGGACGGTCTTTTCTTTTCGGGTTTTACTATTCTTGACGGTGCATCAGAGTCCCTGAGCGAATAGGCAACCCACCATGCACCCGGTTCAGTACCAACCGTGTGGTACAGGGGCTTGTCTACCCAGTGGGCCATGGCATGGCATGGGCATCTTACAGGTGGAGCGAGTAGGCAAATTATGTAAAAGCCAGCACACTCGGTGCCCAGTTAGCCCCTAAAAGGAATGGAGGGGTAGTGGGGTTGGGGTCAGCAATCAGCAGTCTAGATTCGAATTTTTCTCGTTTTTTTACATCCATGCCATCACGATTAAAACAGGTGCGGAGGAGTTTTCCGGGACCGCTGAGAGGTGACCATGGTCGCATCACCACCCACCACAACTCAACAAAATTCCCAACATGTTAAGCATGATCCTTAAAGCATACCCTTTTAAGAAATTGAAAGACATTTTTCTCACTTGTAATGTCAATTATGGCATATTACCTGTGTGGACGCTCCAACGTGGACCTCGCACCATGCTACGCCACGCCGAGTCAGGGTGAGGGTGAAGGTGAGTCCGGCGGGACAGTAGTTCACGGTCGCTCCCCACCTCCGGCCTCCTCTGCAGGTCGCCTCCGCGGCGCCACGCCACGCCGAGTCGGCCATAGCCGCGAGGCGCGCCGCGCGGCAGTGCCGGGTGAGACCAAGACGCGAGCGCACCGGTGACAGTCGTGTCCAGCAGCGCCGCTACAGGTACGAATGCGACTGAAGAGGGGTTGTTTTCCAGCAAAGCATGTCCATATTGCTCTGGGGTTCAACACGTGTTGAGGGCCTGGGCTATTGTCATTAATCCTCCTTGGTTTGTATTTTGTAGGTGTCGATCCCAGAACATAGACGATTCAAAGGGCAATTGCCCGACCGAGTCGTGTAAACCGAAGACGCCAGATTAATTGACTGATTTTATTGGAGGTAAGTTCTACAAACAGTTGTTTGATTAGTTTGTATTGCAGACCTGGGACTGGTTCGTTGTAGGGGGAATTCGGACACCTTGCGTTTTGAGTGTTTTCATTTTAAGGTTAAACAAGTACATCCGCATCACGCTAACGTAAACCCTATTTGAAGGGGAAATGTATTGTTCGCAGAGCTTCGCGAGGTAACTCAAGTCGCGTCGGTTCTATAAAACCATCTCCGTAAGGCTGTCGAGAAGAAGAATGCGGGTAACAAGAAAACGGAAATCACTATATGCTATAAGACGGTGACTTCCGTTTTCCCGTTCATCGCATTCTTCTTCTTCTTCTCAGCTGCGCTCTGAACGGAATGCCGCGTGGGCGTGGCACTTTCGTTTTCCAGAGCGCCAGTCGCGCGGCGTGGTGCGGGGTGGCGGTAGAGGCCGGTTCAGGTCGTGTGTGCAGCGCAGTAGGAGCTGTCGCCAGAGTACCACCCCGCCACGGCTATCAGAGCTGCGTTTGATTGTGTTGCCAAACGCCGAACGCGACGTGCGCTGCGTGCCGAGCACTTCCGCCCAGCCTCAGGCCCAGCCGCCGCGCGCCGCTGACCACGGCGCCACTCGCGGCCTCAGCTCCAGGGGGCGTGACTAAAGTTAAGCGCAATAGAGAGTGCGTGAGGAACCCATTCGACCCATTCCCCTTTAGAGGCGTGAAACCGCAGACTTGTCACACTCACACTCCCCGCATACTTTGTCTGTTAATGGCATTTATTTTGTGATTGTATTGGAGTGCCATTTAAGTGCTTTGTTTGTGCGACCCAAGGGGGCTTCAGCAATATTTATGCAATCAGACCCAAAAGCTATGCTTTTTGCCTACATTCAGTGCGTTTTGCCTCAGGCCCTGAGGCGCGCATTACAGGGGGAGGGGGGGG